GCCCTGCCCTTTGCACAGGCTGTTGTGAGGACCTCATAGGCTGAGGACTGTGGGGACAATCTAAACGGCGAAGTGCAATACGCGTCATGGGACTGTTCTCCGATGGCTGGAGCTGGGGAGACGAGTCTCCACTGGGAACGTTTTTGTCCAAATAGACCCAAAGAAAACACCACGGGCCACCTTGACGACTGGATGGACACTTGAAGGTGGCACTAGAAAGAGTGCTTTCTGTGGTTTGCTGACAAATCAGGGGCCTAGGGATACAAACAATGATTATTTTATGTTCATGATAGCAACAGGCCCTGTATTGTGTGGATTTTTTTCCTCTTCTCAAAAAGAAATATAAAGGAATGAAATCCCTTGGACTTCCAGGAGATGATGAGGTTCATTACCACCCCGCAACCAGGAAGCTTAGAGCACGATTCTCTGAGAGGGATCAGACGGGAATAGACTAGTTAGACTCCAGGGCCCTTAGAGATGGCGCAGCCCAGCCCCCTGTGTGACAGGTGGAGAACTGAGGCCTGGGCAGAGGAGGAGCAGCCACATTTAGTGACTGTCTTCTCATCACTGTGCCCATGTCGAGCAGCCTGCGTAGGAGGCTGTGTGTCTGTGCTCGTGAGAGCACAAGATCCAGATTGACTCACTTGTCCCTTTTTTCATTCTTTTTTTTTTTTTTTAAGAATTATTTGACTTAACTTTACTTATTTATTTACTTTTATTTATTTATTTTAATTTGACCAGGGTGAGGGGGAGTGAGAAATCAAGCTGCCAGGTCCCAGACTCGAACCACATTCAGCCATGTGGGAGTCCAGAGCCGTTAGCCACCATGCCACTTGCTGGCTCAACTTGTCCCTTGTTTTAAAGAGTTATTTATCTTGGGAAGCAGATGCCATAGTAGTTACATCACTGGACTGGCGAGTAGTCAACTGTCGTTCAGGTCCTGGACCTGGTGACTTAAAACTCACTCTGGGCATATGTGCATGAGTGCTCAAAATTCCAAGAGGAAAATGGAGGAGAAGGGACTGCGGTGTGGCCATTTCCCTGGGGAGAGATTTCTCGCTTTCTGTCCCTTTCTCTCCAGTACCCTATAGCAAAATTCTCTCTTTAAAAAAAAAGGAAGAATTATTTATTTTATTTATTATTATTATTGAATTTTTAAATTTGCTATAGGGCACTTGTGCTCACTAGAGAGAGAGAGAAAGAGGAAGTGAGAAAGCAAGCTGCCAGGTCCAGGACTCGAACCATGGTCAACTATGTAGTAGTCCAACACCTTAACCACTGTGCCACCTGCTGGTCCCCTAACATGGCCTTCTAATAACCACCACTTTCGTCTTAGACTGGTGCCTCTGAGTGTGCAGTTAGCACACAGTCACACAGTGCAGGAGAGGTCAGCCCCTTAGGAAGCAGTGGTAACCTGTGCTGGGCTACAGACTGGCTCACTGATGTCTGGCAGAGATGGAGAGCTTCTGACACCAAGTCCTCGAACAGAGCCATCCAGTGAGAGATCAGATCTTCTACCACCAGGGACTGCCTTCTGTTTTGTTTCGTTTTCTTTTAAATCTGAATATAAATTACTCTCCTATCCAAAGGCCATTTAATTCCTGTTTGATTAAACCCTCCACAATTATCAAACCCTTTTATTATCCCAGAATTTTGTTATATTGTTTCTGTGTAGACTTTACAGAGCACCTACTCCCGGCCAAGCATTGGCCCTATTCTGGGGCTGAACGTAAATAAAAGCTAATAAATGTAAACAGGCCGTGTAAAGTGTGTGGAGTTGAATGCAAACCCAGGCTTTGGCATGGGATACACACTCTCCTTAAGCAGGTTTCCAGAGCTAACCCTGAGAAAATAATATTAATAGCCGTACTAGGATGTGTTTGGCTTCTAATACACACATTTGAGATGTTTGGTTTTTGTCAAAATTTCCTGCTAGATTCTGTCCTGTCAGAAGTGTCCATACATGTGCACAGGGACATACGTGCGTGTGCATGTGTGGTTAAGGCCCACGTCAGCCTGCTGCCCCATCCTGGCACACTCACCATTCACTCTTCTCCGACGGGGAGAGGACAGCCTCGGCTCGGGCAGCCGTCATTCTCATCTCAAAACGTTCCTGACAAACTCTGGCTGATGACGTCAGACTTACTGGACCGTTGAACTAGCTTAAGATAGTATTTTCCATATGTTTTACATTCATATGTTGACTTTTGAGTCTATTTTTAAATTATAGAAGGTTTTGTGTTGTTTGTTTTTTAACTAGTATTACTGTTTTCTGATGTCCAAGTCTCGCTCTGCCTTTGGCATATGAGCCTCCAGCTGTGAGGGTGGCCAGGACTGCTGGGCCCAGGGTGGGTGACACTTGGTGCTGAGGAGGAGAAGGATAATCAGCTTCCATTGAACGTGTGACTGTCCATGCTGGACGCTCAATAAATAATAGCTCTTTTCATCTCAAACCCCTCCAGGGCTGGATGAGAAGTAAACAAGGCTAGGATGAAGTGACCAGCCGCTGGTCAGGCTGGGGTTCGAATTCGGGTCTGCCTGATCCTGAGACCCTCGTACTTAGGACAGTGCACTTGGAGTTGGCGGAAGCGTGAGAGGTTGGAGACCTAAGTGGCAAGCAGAGACAGAGGAAGGAATAAGTGGGCAGAGGGCTGCACACATGAAGGGGCACAGCAGTGACAGAAGGACAGGCTAAAGTGGGGAAAGAGGGATGGATGGATGAGTGGGTGGATAGGTGGGTGGGTAGCTGGATGACGAGCAGCAAGATAAATAGGTAGACGGACGGTTGGGCAGACAGACAGGTGGACGGGTTAATGAGAGGTAAAAGCTTGAGCGAGTAAGTGGGTGGGAATGAATAAATGAGAAGTGAAGGATGCATACATTGCATGTGTATATGTTCAAAGGTGAGTGGATTCTAAGAAGAGGGGAGGGAAGGCAGACCAGCTCTAAATCCAGAGAGGAAATTAGAGCCGGCCCCCTTTCACTACAATGCCTCCAGCAAAGATTCCTCCAGGAATACAGGGAGGAGGAAGCCAGTCTTTCCCGAATGTCCACAGGAAGATATACCCCAGGGCTCAGAAGGAACCGCCTCATGTAATGTGAGAGACGCGGAACTCTCTTTCACTGGATGGCCTTAATTGGTCTGTCTTTTCTACATCCCAAAACAGCATGCTACAAAGGAGCCTCAAAGTTAGCTTCTTGTTTATTCCTAAATTTTCTTTCTTTTGGAGAAGTTTTTGCTATAGGGCGTGTGTGCTCACCAGACAGAGAGAAAACAGAGAGACAAAAAGTGAGAAATTATCCCCCTCCCAGGGGGGGCGGGTGGGTGGGGGTGGGA